CTCGATGGACGGGATGGCGAGCACAACGAGGAAATCACGCTCCCCCCACGTGCGCACAACACTGCGTGGGACGTACTGCAGAGAATGGTTGTCAAATGCTGTAGGGTAGGTCCGTGGCTCGGCGACAGGATCTTGTGGTGCTTCGTCAAATGGGCACTCACCGACCAGAAACGAATATCTGGCATTCATTTGTTGGAAGCCAATCATAATCGCTAGGAGAAAGAGACAGCAGGCACAAGCACGAGCTGTGCCCCGTAGGCGGCGGTGTGCCATGGCCGATGCGCTACTGTGGCGGAAAGAGAGTGAGAGGAGAGAATGCACCAGGCAGCTGCAGCAGTGGGGGTGGGCGGGTGAGTGCCACCAGTAGCAGCAGCGCGTCACGCAGAACACACACCAACCACAGCCATCCTGTGGGGTTGCAGGCACCGCAGTCAGCGGAGAATGGTGATGGGATGGGAATATGGACGACATAGAGCACGCGGGCGTGCTGAGGAAAGGATTGCGGAGCATTGTATAAGCGAAACAGACCGATCAACCAACAAGACAAGCGACCAATCTGTAAAGGTGAAAAGGAACTTGATAAACGGTCTGATGCCTTTCCACTCACCCATCGGGCATGCCACGGTTGTAATTGCAGTTATGTTTCACATTTCTGTCATAAATCTTCCAAGATCGCCACCAGCAGGGCCCCACACTGGCGTCCCTCTGACGTATGCGTGGGGCGAATGAAGTAAAGTCGGTGCTGACGTCAGCAACACGTGCACACTGTCGGTACGGGTGTGGTGTAAGGGGCATGGCATATCATCCTCAGTGAACAAGATTGGGCCCTCTATCTCCACACGGAGTGCGTTTCCCACAAGCACGGCTTTACCAACCCATGCCAAATTAAAAGATACGGCACGCTATTTCCTTTTTATCTTTGTATGTGACAGGTGCACAGATCGTTGCGACACTTGCCTGGCGTAACCTCCGGCGTACGTTGTCGGTCTCACTTATTACTCCCCTTTTGGACCACGAATTTAAACCGAGAGGATGGGCTAATTCCCCAACGCAATTGCCAATATTTTCCCCTTTCCCTTCGTTTGCCTTACCGTTGCCGCTGTTGTGAGGGTGGGGCTGCCTGAGTGGAGCTTTATAGATTCGCAATGCCATACGGAAAGAACAAAAGTCATAGCTAGAGAAAAATGAGGATAGTGGCATGCGGTGCATTGATTTATGAAGTGTGCTATGCGATGGGTGGTGGATAAGGACTGTCCCTTTCTTTTTCCTTATGCAGGGCATACTGACGGCAGCATGCGCCCCAACATCAGCACTAACTCGTGTGTTGATTTCCATCCGGCCGCCCACTTCAAGTTTTCTTGCGACCTACTGGCTGGCGATGCTTCATGTCGAGGAGGGGGTCGGCACGCCTGCACGCTCAGCGGCAGCTGGAGATGACCTGCTGCTGGTTATTTTGCTGCGTCGGCTGCTCCGCCCTGCCGATGCGCAGCGATGAGGAGCCCAGTTGCTCCCCACCGCGCAAAGGTAGCCGCTCCGCCCCCGCGGCAGTGGCGTAGTCGACAAGGCCGTGCGTAGTGTGACCACGACACGGGGCGCAGAGTCGGAGGCGTAAAACATGCCCTGACGCATCCAAAAAAAAAGTGCAATTGACGCCCCGTTGTGCGGGAATCCAGCCTGCTGGTGTACAACTTTCGCCGCCGAACCTCGTCCCTGCGGCTGTCCGACAGACTCGAGTGCAGCGCTTGGCTCTGCGAGCCGTCGCACGCCTCCGCACCGGGCGCTGACGATGTGCAGCAGATCGCGGTGGGAAGAAGCACGTCGACGACGTGCGCGTTGTGGCTGAGTTGCCAATGCAGGGAGATTTCGCATTCGCCACCGTCGCCGTTGTTGCATTTAGCCGCGGCTTCGCTATAGCCGTGGCGCCCGCCTGGTGCCGTGCTGAGAGCAGCGAGACCGTCAACGCCGCGGCCGCGACTGCACCCACACCGTCGCATGTCACCGAGCAGCCGGCGAGCTGGTCGCAGCGACAGCGCCACCGAGCCCTGCTCCAGCAGCAGGGAAACATATCCCGCTGTGCGCAAAGACGTCGAGGAGAGCCTCGCGGGGGGGTGTCTCGGAAGAAGCGGCCAGCGAAAGGGTTTCCAAGCAGGCACGCAGCTGCGTCGCGCAACACTGACTCGGTGCTCCGTCTGGCAAGAGGTGAGAAAAGCGTTTCCTCGAGGGTAACGACAAACCCACGGTGTGTGTAACGTAGTGGGAGCATCAGCGCGCTCGGCTTCAGCAGACGGCCGGCGTGTAACGCGGGGGATGGGAACGGTGACGCCTGCGCGTGGGAAGGCATCAATTCCCTTGCGGAACGGCGTCGTCGCATTGAGATCTGCTGCCGCGTACTTGCAGCATCATCATCGTTTACAAAGGCTTCATGCAAAGTGCATAGCTCCTTCCGCACTTCATACGGCATGCATGAACTTAGCTTTGACAGCGAGGGGCTATGAAGAGGCAAGAACATGGTCCCCGTGTCCGCCTGCCCATCACTTCCGCCACGGGGGAAGAGGCACCGATTCGGGGGGTCTTTAGTACCGCGCAATGAGTGCCCTCTCTACGAATTTTACTCTTTTACGCAACCTGTGCAGTGCATGCCAGTCCCTCTTGTATCTGAATGCATATGTCTATATGTATATGCACACATATGTATGCTTCAGACTGCTGCAGCGGCGCCAACCACACACATTACACAGAGAGGCTTGCACGCGCACAAGGCATCCTGCCGGCACCTGCCCCAACGCATCCCTGTGGCCCCGTCAAGATCCGTACTTAGGTAAACGACCCACTTTGTAGCCTACCTCGCGCAGCAGTCCTTCGAGCGTCACAGCCACCGCAGTCCACGGCGGTAGTGGCGGCGGCGCCCCCACACGAAAGAGAGGATACGAACAACGCATCGCCACCGGGAAGTACACATGTGCGCCACGCACACCGTTGGAGAGCTCGGCGTGACAACTCGGCGTGGGCCGCAGCCAGCGCCACCTTTCATGCGTCCTACCGCCGTCGTCATCGTCGTTACCGCCGTTGCACGGCACTGCCTTGTCGCAGGTGATGTCCAGCAGCAGAAGCGTAGGGTTCCGTTGCGCCAGCAGTAGTTTTCTCGTGGCGGCGAGTTCGCTCGACTCGCAACGCAGCACGTTAACATGCTTCAGTGCCTTGCCCTTGGCGGCCGCGACGAGTTCCGCCGTGTGGTGCCCCCAATCGGCGGATGGAACACTGTGCACCGCGCAGAAGCCGTCGATACGCCCTGCAACCTCGTCTGCCAGCGGCACCGCTCCCGTTGTTGGCATGACGGCTGCGACGCAGTACGCCGTTGCCACGTCTGCCTCATCTGCGGGGCCGCTAGCGAGGAGGACGACGCACTGAAATTGTTCACCCAGGGAGTTCATCCTAGCGGTTCTGCAGCACTGGCAGCGGAACGACCAGCAACAGCAGGGCCACGGGCAGAGCAGAAGGAGCAAAAGGACAAAAACAAAAACAAGACACGAGGGAAAAAAAGAATGCATGGCGCAGGAGACCGTGTGCTTCCACTACATAGACCCAGCACATATATACGTGTGTGTGTGTCTGTTTGTGTATTAGGATGAGCCCCCAATAGATAAATGCTGCACGGAAGGGCTGACGGGAACGTAGCAAACATGCGCCGCTCAGTACGGCAACTTATTCAACACATAACAACTCCCACTATCGTTATAATAATGATAATGATAAAGAAAAAAAAAAGCAAAGGATGAAAACAAGGAAAGCAAAAGAGTGCGTGGGTGCCTCGTCCCTGGTCGTTCCTAACGTGCAGACGCCAAGGAAAGAGAGACGGGTTTTGGTCCTTTTGATTGTTGCCTCCTCTCATCTTCTCTTTGAGTTCCCTTCGCTTTGTTGCGTGATAAGGGCTCTCTTCAAAATCATGCGACACAAGCCACTTATCTTTCTAGAAATATATACCCACTTTCGTACTTGGAACATATATATATAAATATATAAATATATTTGCTTTGCTTTTAGAGATATACTTAACGCAGAGAGAGAGAGCCCCGGTATGCCCCCAGATCTACTTCCCAAGGTAGCCAACGACGTTGTCAATGAGCGTGTACAGCAGGCGGCCGCCCAGCGCGGGGTACCGCGTCAGCATCGAGCGCGCCACGCCGTCGGTCTCTGGCTGCAGGTGCGCATCGACGGCCCGCACCGCCTCGCCCACGAGTTCCGCGATTTTGTCGTAGCACACATCGTCGGGGCCGGTGCGCGCGAGAAGGTTCTGCGCTTGTGTCCGCATCGTCTGCATCGCCGACTGCAGCTGCGTCGAGTACAGAATGATGCTGCACGTGGACCCCCTCGTAAGCTTAACCTTGCTGTGGAAGACATTACGGTTGTTGAACACCAGCGCAAGCGTCGCCATCGCCATGAGCTGCGGGATGGCGCAGAAGGCAAACACCGACGGGTCGCGCAGCGCGGCCATGTACTCGATGACGTGCGGCACGTGCACCAGCGCGTCGGCCACCATCGCGTTAAGGCACTCGAGCGCCTTCGCCTCGTGCGCCTCCTCCTTGAAGGCGTGCAGGTCGTCCGTGTACTGCGCCCATATCTCGCGCGGCCAGAAGATGCGTGGCGGGCTCTCGCATATGTCCTCGTAGAAGTCGCGGATGATGTTCGTCTTCTGCAGGAACAGCCCCATGTGGTTGGCGTTCGTCAGGTCGTCGGCGAGGTTCGGGTCCTCGAAGCCGCCCGACACGTACAGGCGCGTGAGGCCGTGGCCGACGAGGCCGGCGACGTAGTGGCAGTACAAGTCGTAGTCCGCACGCGACTCGACGCGGCGCGTCAGGAACTCACACATGCCGGAGGCCATACGCGCGCAGATGTCGGTGATGACGTCCTGGTACGCCTTGCCGAGCCGGGCGTAGACGCGCGTGACGTGCGGAAAGCGCTCCAGCAGCTCGCGCTCGCGGCCGGCGCCGACGCCGCACATGCGCCACGAGGGGTCGCGCAGGTGCTCGTGGAAGACCGGCAGCTCGCGCAGCTTCAAGTCGACCGCGAGGCTCATGTCGTCCTCCACCGTGTCGAGGGCGCGCAGCACGAGGTAGAAGACGCACACCGCGTCGCGGAGCTCCTCGCGCAGCTGCATGATCACAAGCGCGAAGGAGCGCGACACGGACTGAAGGACGTCGTAGCAGAATTGGAGGTCCTCGTC